GGAAGGGTCACCGGACCCGAAACGTTAACTCTGTTTTCTCCTCCACAGATGCTGCCAGACCTGCTGAGCTTTTCCAGCAACTTTGTTTTTGTTCCTCAATGTGAAGGTGGGACTTCATCTCCCCAAGGACTGTGATATTTTCATCCCTACTAATGCTGCCATGGGCAGAAAGCATCTGCAACAGGTGGAATGGCAAGAATAAGGCCAAGTAGAGTTTTTCTTTCTCACTGGCTCCCTCGCTTCCAGCCACGGACCCAGTCTAGCAGCTGTCTCCTTTAGGTTGCTACTGAGTCAGCCTTTTGGTGACTGACCTTGCAGTTCCCTATCCAATGTACATTTTGTATCCTTATCATTCTTTATCCACGTGCATCTCAATATGGAGAGCTGGCTCGGCAGCCGAGAAGTTGGCAGGTACATGGGATTGGGGTGTTGGGCCTGTTCCTGTTATGTAGATGCAGGTTTTTTGCCTCTGTTTTCTCCTGCTGCCATGACTCTTGATTGGCTCTGGAGCCAATGTTAAGGATTTTAAAGTTTTGGCAAAGATCTGTAGCTCAGGTTGTGGGTGAGGTTGTTGGCTTGCTCTCTGGCGAGCTGGCTTGCTCTTGTTCAGATGTTTCATCAGCATGCTAGGTGACATCATCAGTAGAGCCTCCGAGGAAGCGATGTTATTCTAATCCGCTTGGAATTTATTCTATCTGGTCTGTTATGGTGAGTAGTGTCATTTCCAGTTTTGATCAGTATGGGTTTGTATATGGGTCCAATTCTATATGTTTGTTTGCATTACGGGTGGAGAACCATGCCTCTAGGAATTCCCGTGCATATCTATGTTTGGCTTGGGCTACTATGGTTACCTTGTCCCAGTTAAACTGATGGCCTTCGTTGTCTGAGTGTACCGATATTAAGGAGAGTTCATTGTGCCGTTTTGTTGCTAGTTGATGTTCATGTTCATGTAATCTGATGGCTAGTTTCCTTCCTGTCTGTCCGGAACACTCCAGAACTATGCAGTAAAGATGAAGAGCATCTATACAAAATCCTTGCTATAAACTATTAGCCCCCGCAACATCGCCCACAGATGCCTACTAAACAGACAACAACAAGAGGACACAGTACACCCTAACACACTGGCCACACTGCCCTACATCAAGAACATATCAGAACTGACAACAAGACTGCTAAGACCATTAGGAATCATGGTAGCGCACAAGCCCACAGCCACTCTACGAAAAACACTCTCAAGGATTAAAGACTCCATTCCCACAGCATGCAGAACCCACGTGGTTTACAAAATACCATGCAATAACTGTCACAAACATGTGATCAGGTAGACAGGAAGGAAATTAGCCATCAGAATACATAGAACAGTACAGCACAGTACAGGCCCTTCAGCCCACGATGTTGTGCTGAACTTTTACCCTAAACTTAAGTTGGATCTAACCTCCACCCCTACCTTGTACTATCATCCATATGCCTATCTAAATGCCCTAAAGAGGCTGACTCCACTACCCTCTCCGGCAATGCATTCCACGTGCCTACCACCCTGAGTAAAGAACCTACCTCTGATGTCTCCCCTAAATCTACCTCCACTCTCTTGAAAACGATGCCCCCTCATAATAGCTACCTCCACCCTAGGAAAAAGTCTCTGGTGGTCTACTCTATCTATACCTCTGATCATTTTGTACACCTCAATCAAGTCACCTCTCATCCTTCGTCGTTCGAAAGAGAAAAGCCCTAGCTCTCTCAACCTTTCCTCGTAAGACCTTCCCTCCATTCCAGGCAACATTCTGGTAAATCTCCTCTGCACCTTTTCCAACGCTTCCACATCTTTCCTGTAATGAGGCGACCGAAACAATACTCCAGATGTGCCTGAACCAGGCTTTTGTATAGCTGGAACATAACTTCACGGCCCTTGAACGCAATCCCTCTATTAATGAAAGCTAACACACCATACGCCTTCTTAACAACTCTATCCACCCAGGTGGCAGCTTTCAGGGAACTGTGGACGTGAACCCTAAGATCCCTCTGCTCCTCCACACTGCCAAGAATCTTTCCATTAACCCTTTATTCTGCTTTCAAATTTGTCCTTCCAAAATGAATCACCTCACACCTTTCAGGGTTAAACTCCATCTGCCACTTCTGAGCCCTGCTCTGCATCCTATCCAATGTCCCTTTGTAACCTAGAACAGCCCTCCGCACTGTCCACAACGCGACTCACCTTCGTATTGTCCGCGAACTTACTAATCTACCCTTCCACTCCTTCACCCAAATCATTTACAAAAATCACAAATAGAAGAGGACCCAGAACAGATCCTTGTGGTACACCACTCGAAACTGAGCACCATGTTGAATATTTTCCGTCCACTACCACCCTTTGTCTTCTAAGGGTCAGCCAATTCTGAATCCAATCTGCCACATTTCCCCCTATCCCCTGCCTCCTTACTTTCTGCATGAGCCTATCATGGGGAAGCTTATCAAACGCCTTACTTAAATCCATGTATACCACATCCACTCCTCTACCTTCATCCACGTGTTTGGTTACCTCTTCAAAGAATTCACTAAGGTTTGTGAGGCATGATCTACCCCTTACGAATCCATGCTGACTATCACGAATCAAACTGTGCCTATCCAAGTGATCATAAATCCTATCTCTCAGAGCCCTTTCCGATAATTTGCCCATCACTGAAGTAATACTAACTGGCCTGTAATTTCCGGGTTCTCCCTATTCCCTTTTTTTGAACAAGGGAACGACGTTTGCCACTCTCCAGGCACTATACCTGTGGACAGCAAGGATGAAAAGATCATTACCAAAGGCCCTGCGATCTCTTCCCTCACTTCCCATAGAATCCTTGGATAAATCCCATCAGGCCCGGAGGGCTTATCTATCTTCAAGTTCCTCAAAATTCCTAGTACATCTTCCTTACTAACATCCATCTCCTCTAGCCTACCAGCCTGTTCCACACTGTCCTCCCCTACAACTAGGTCCCTCTCTGAACGTCAGCTAGCAGCAAAACGGCATGACGAACTCTCCTTATTATTGATACACTCAGACAATGAAGGCCATCAGTTTCACTGGGACAAGGTAACCATAGTAGCCCAAGCTGAACATAGACACGCGCTTGAATTCTAGAGACATAGTTCTCCACCCGTAATGCAATGAACAAACATATAGAATTGAACCCCATATACAATCCCATAAAGAACAGAACCGGGAATGACACTACTCACCATAACGGACCAAGTGGACTAGGATAACATCGCTTCAACGGAGGCTGCACTGATGATGCCACCTAGCATGATGATGAAATGCCTGAACAAGAACAAACCAGCTCGGTGAGCAAGTCAACAACCTCCAATGTTAAGGATTCCCAGGGCAGCTCCCTTCTAACTATGTACCACTGTGCTGCCAGCTCTTGTGGATTTGTCCTACCAGTGTGACAGGACATACCCAGGGATTGTAGTGATTGGTGTCTGGCACAGAATCATACAATGTTAGGCATTTGTTTGACGAGTTTGTGGAACAGCTCTTCTCGTTTTGGCACAAGGCCCCAAATGTTAATAAGGAGAACTTTTGAGGGTCCACGGGGGTCAGTCTGTCACTGTTTCCAGCACCTGGAATACCAGTTAGTTTGTATGGTTTCATTCTTTAGACTTTAGCTGTTTGTTACAACCGAGTGACTTGGCAGGCCTTTCAGAGTACATGTAAGAGAGCCACATTGTGGGTCTGGAATCAGGTAAGGATGGCAGATTTCTTTCCCTCAAGGATGATGAACTGCTTTGCAAATATTATAACGTGGAAGAATCCACTATGAAAATGGTACCTCAAGATATTCAGTTGTGTAATTTGGTAAGTTTTACTGCACACAAGCTAACGCTTTTTTTAAAATATGTGACCTATTCAAATAGGTGCCAGTCAGGACCAGGCAATAGTACATCTGTTAGCTGGGTTAGAGGAAGACGGGTTTGGGAATGCAAGATCTCCATTTGCACCTGTCAGATGTTTGCAACGACAATCTGCAGGAAGTTGCAGTTACCAGCAGAATAGTGATGATGAAGAAAATGAACCAGAAATTCAAAAAGAAGAATTGGAACTCAGTTTAATAATGTCTCAACGTTGGGATGGTGAATTTCCAGATAACATTGGAAAAATGAGGTAAGCGATTTCTACATATAGTGTCTCAAATACTAGAACTAATGCAATACTTTCTGTAACTCATTTTTTGGGGTATTTTTTATTCATCACCACCAGCAGGCAATACTTATTCTGTATGAATCCAACTTTTAATATTGATCTGAAAAAAAGATTTGAGCCTTGGCTCATGTGTAGCATTCTCTATCTGACAGTGTACCAACACTGCAATGTTCCTCCATTTGTTATTTAATCTTTGCTGTACCATGCTTTACAGTCTTAGCCAAGTATTACTTGATGTTAGGTCGACCAAAGTAATCATATTTGGCCCTTACTACACAGTTTTCTGTAGCTCCACCTTTTTTTCTTCCTTTTTTTTCATTGAATCAGATTGTTTGCTATGGCTGCATCCAGTCTTACTGAGCTTCTATCTCCATATCCTCTCCACTCCTCTGACTGTTAAATGAGGGGAAAAATTGCTTTCAAAACCAGAGACTTGATAAAATTCTCTACACAGACACTACATTGGAAATCTAACTTACAAAATAGCACAGTTCCACTTGTCAGCTTGAAGTTGCATAATTTGTCTTGCTGGATAATTTAAACTATGCCTAAAAGGGTTTTTGGATAATCTTGAATCAAGTGAAGAACTTGGCATTGTCCTAACAGTACTGTGGTTGTACCTATATCTCATGCAGCAGGTCAAGAAGGCAGATTTTCAAAGGCAACTAGGATTGGGTAATAACTGCAGTTCTAGCCAGCAATACCCACATCCTGTGAATGAATGAAAAGGTAATTATGCTGAAGACTGGGAATGGATTGAAGCAAATTTATTTTTTTAAAGCAATTGAGCTAAGTTCTGTAGTGTCATCATACTATTAGCCAAATGCATATGAGAAATCTCCTCCTCTGTCACTGAACAGTAAAGATCAAATAATGGATTGTCTAGCTTGATCAAAGCATGTAGGTGAAAAGTAAACTTTCTAATAATTTGCACATCCTGAAGTTTTGAGAATTCTTCTCATGGTTAGCAGTCATTACATAAATTTTAACTCATTTTGAAACGTTCTCAATTCAAAGAGGAGAAAACATTTAACTTTTTACTTTCAACCTTTGAAAAGGAGTTGGCTCTGGGGAGTATATTTGTTGAATAGATTAGAAAATTATTAAATAGGCGCAAGAGAAGATCATCAACCCCTCAAGTTTGATCTGCCACAAAAACGATCTCAATTGATTTTATTCTGCTTTTGTACACATTCCCAATATTCCCTTTTTCTTTGAGAAATAAAAGTCTATCCCAGCCTTGAATATGAACATGCAGGTTGTCCACCATCCATCTGGATTAGAGAATTCTAAAGGTTCTTATTGAGTCATCTTAGTCTATAATGATCGACCCCTTAACGTGAGACCATGTTCTTGTATTCTACAATCACATACATTTGTATTGTCAGCAAACCTAGATGCAGTAAGCTTTTCAATCTAGTGAAAGGATCACTGGACTCAACGTTAACTCTGTTTCTCTTCTACAGATGCTACCAGACCTGCTGAGTTTCTCTAGCAATTTCTGATTTTGTTTGCGGATGCTGGAGATATGAAACTGTTCTTTGTTTTATTAGGCTATTGTTTATGCTGTAAATGCTTAAAGCCAATTAATATCTTTTGCAGAGTTATTTTACAATAAAAGTATCTTTCAGATTTTCAGAGAAGAACTTAAGTGACTGTTCATCAGAGGAAGATAACATTTTTTCTGATGGTCAAGCTGAGTGGCGAGGAAATCGGAGCATTATGGCGAATCTTTCTATCCCTCAGCTTGATGGGGCTGCAGATGAGAATACTGGTATGTGCCTTTGTTGTATAAACTTTGTGATTGCTGAAGGACAAGATCAGCAGATATTTGAACTGCCAGAAAACAATTTGCATTCTCTACTATTGACTAATTTAAGACTGTTGCAAGGTTGAAGGTTTAAATAAGTCTTGAGCAGTTTGTGGACATTGTTTAACATTTGAGTTTAATTATTTTCTAGCTATTTACTTCTGTGTCTAGGGGTGATCATCTGATCAAAATTTTTTAAAGAAATTTAGTGCAAACATTTCCTGTTATCCATTGTATGTAAAAGACTTTAAATTTGGATTATATTTAATGCATAAAAAATTAATGGTAGCCATTTGCATTATACAGAAGAACTCATCAAAAATTCACTGCAGAGCCCCTACATTTGCAGGCTCTTAAATTTGCTGGTGCATATAAAGCATTCTTGAGTTTGTCTGAATAGTAAGCAATCTTTAAAATTTATATTTCCTTTATTTTACTAACTGAAATAATAGATATGTACCTACTGAAGTCAAGTTGGAATTCATAAGGTTTGCAAATCCTTACTGTGATTCAAGGATTTCATCTTCAGCCTTGCATATCCTTGATAGGGATTGAGGTCGCTTTTTGCCATTGACTTTATTCTGTCCCTCAGAACTCCTCCACACTCCTCTTACATCCATCCTGTCTCACTCTTTGGCTCCAGTTTCTTTCCATTGAATACTAGTAAGGCCTTTGACAAGATTCCACATGGTAGACTAGTTAGTGAAGTTAAATCACATAGGATTCAAGGGGAGCTCACCAATTGGCTTGGCAGGTAGGAGACAGATGGTGGTGGAGGGTTGTTTTTTGTACTGGGGGCCTATAACCAGTGGTGTTCCACAGGGAACAGTGCTGGGTCCACTGTTGTTTGTCATTTATATATATGATTTGGATGAGAATATAGGAAGCATGGTTAGTAAGTTTTGCAGATGACACCAAAATTGGTGGTATAGTAGACAGTGAAGGCTATCTAAGGTTACGGAAGGGATCTTGATCAATTGGGACAATGGTCCCAGGAGTGGCAGGTGGGGTTTAATTTAAATAAATATGAGGTGTTACTTTGGTAAGATGAGCAAGGGTAGGACTTGCGCACTTAATGGTTAGGAAGTGTTGTGGAACAGAGACCTGGGAGTTGGGTACATACTTCTTTGAAAGGTAGACAGGGTGGTAAAGAAGGCATTTGGCATGCTTGCCTTCATTGCTCAGACCATCGAATATAAGAGTTGGGATGTCAAGTTGCAGTTGTACAGGACGTTGGTGAGGCCACTTTGGACTACTGTGGGAAGCATAATTGGAGAGGGTGCAGTAAAGATTTACAAAGATGCTACCGGGACAGGAGTGTTTGAGTTTTATAGAGGGGCTGGGTAGGCTGGAACTTTTTTTTCCTAGTGCATAGGAGATTGAGGTGTGACCTTAGAAGTTTATAAAATCATGCAGGGCATAGACAAGGTGAATAGTAAAGGTCTTTTCCCTAGGTCAAGGGAGTTCAAGACTCAAGGGCATAAGTTTGAGGTGAGTGGGGAAAGATTTAAAAGGGACCTGAAGGGTAACTACTTCACACAAAGGGTGATGCCCATATGGAATGAACTACCAGAGGAAGTGGTAGATGCAAGTACAGTTAAGATATTTGTCAAGTACATAGATAGGAAAGGAATATGAGCCAAATGAAACGAATGGGATTAGTTTTGTTTGGGAAACTTTTTAAGCATGGATGTGTTGGACCAAAGGATCTGTTTCTATGCTGTATGACTCTGACAGGCAGCATTTTTGTAATTGAACTTCCTTCTTACAGTTGTATTACTTCTATAGTATGAGGGTTGTGAGCAGTATATCTGGTATTTGTCATCAAAGCAGTGAGGAATTGTGTGTATAAACACTTTGGAGCTTTAAAGTCAGCTGGATTAATTCGAATCTGCTTAGGGCCTTCACAACTTGTCACTATAATTGAGCTTTCTCAGGGAGCAAATATGAAGACTTTGTTGTATTGGCACCAGAAACTTTAACACCTTTGCTGTTAAATAATTGAGGTTGTGCTATGGCTTCCTAAAGCTCAGTGAGTCACTCTCAGTGTTAGTTTCCTCTTGTATTTCCTGGACCATGTGTGGCAAATATAAACACTCACTGGGAGGAGAGCCTTCACTTTGTTCGCATGTCTCTCCATTTGGTCAACATCTTTTGACCTCGCCACCAACCCTGTATGTGCTCAGCATACTGTACAGTTTGGTGATGCAATATCTCACACGTTGCCTTGTGTGAATATTTTTTTCCCTTGTCATCAAGTTGCTTCAAAGCACTGCTTTTCAGTCTACAAACACTGGTAGATTCAGTTAGTAAATAAGTTTACGAGTGTCGCTAGCTTGCACTGTCTCTCACTCGTTCTCTTCGCCACATCTCGCCACCACCACCACCAAAGTTATTTCTAGCAGACATTATTATAAATTATAACAAGTGGTTTAATATTAGGTTGTGTAATAGATAAGTCCAAGTTTTTGCAGATGCAGTGTGAGTCTATTTAAAATACAACCATAATCTATCTTTATTTGTAGTCACCAGTACCATCAACAGCTCATGTTTATTTGGCATCATTTCACATAGCAAAAGATCCCAAGGCACTTTGTGGCAACATTTTTGAAAAATAATTGACATCTGCACACATGGGGGAAATAGAATCAGTAACCAAGAGCTTAATTGATGAGATGAATTTTAAGAAGCATCTTCTAGAAAGAGTGAGGAGGTGAGACTGAGGGTTATGGAGGGATTTCCAGACCTAATGCCAAAGCAGCCAAAAGGTATGGGGCCAGAGATATAGCAATGACAATTAGGATGCACACAAGGATAGAATAAGATGTGATGAGGTCTTGCGGAATTATAGGACTGGAACTTGTTGCAGAGGGGAGAAGGAACAGTGCCTTAGAGGTTGAAGAAAGTGATGAGAATTTTAAGTTGGTTAATGTTGCATTTCTTCACATTGTGCTCAATCTTCCATCCGCATATCCACTCGCTTAACCTGTCTGTATGCCTCTTTATAGACTTTTTACCATGTCTCCAAACAGCTAACCTTCCTGTCTTGTGCTTTGTGTTGTCTGAAAACTCTAAATTCACTCGATTCTTGCTGAAGCTTGGAGGTTTCGTGAACTACGAGTACCAGAGTGAGAAATTTCACGAAAGCATAAACGGGCTGATAGACCGGCCAGGTATATGGCAGCTAAAATTTAATGTACAGACATTTGAGGTGATTTGTTTTAATAGGAGGAACAAAGAAATGTAATCTAAAATAAAGAGTGCAATTCTGAATAGTGATCAGGAGCAGAGGGATCTAGAAGTAAATGCACACAAATGAGCAAGTTGAGAAAGCAGTTTATAAGGCAAATGGATCCTGAGTATTATACTTAGAGAAGTAAGAGTACAAGAGCAAACAAAAAGTTAACTTTTTATAAAACAGTGGTTTGATCATAACTATACAATCCTGAACATCATACTTCAGGAAGGAAGTGAATAAGATGGAGGTAATAATTCAGAGAACTTCCAGGGATTAAGGGTCTTGGTTTCAAAGATAAATTGACAAAGGTTCTGTTCTCCTTGGATGAAAAGCATGAGAGGTGATTTAATAGACGGGTCTAGCCAATGTTTCCATCAGTGGAAGGGTTAAGAACTAGAAGGCACTGATTTAAGATAATTGGCAATGAAAGCAGTGTGTGGAAGAAACGATTTTGTGCATCGACTAATTTAAATCTGGAGTGCGCTACCTGAGAGTGTATGGAGGTAAATTGAATAATTTATTTGAAGATGAAGAAAAGTTACAGGGCCCAGGGGAATGAAGGGGTGAGTAGGTTGGAGCAGAGCAGCTCTTCAACTGTGTGGATAGACTCAACTGGCTAGATGGCAGCCTTTCGTGCTGTTCTAATTCCATGATTCTGTAAGCATTTAGAGTCAATTAACTTTGTAGAAAGCAAGCAAGTGTCTATTATGGGATCTTGTATTAACATTGAGACAATTCAGTATACACTTATCGTTTAAAGGGTAGGAATAATCTTGAGTCCAGTTGTACAATGAAATGGACAGCAGCTTATATATCAGTAATTATCCAGTAGGCGTAGCAGAACAAATGTACTGAAGTAACCTGAAAGCACCTCAGGTAAGATTTATTTTCAGAGAATGGTTGAATTAAGTTACTGCCTTCTATCTTTCGCTAGTCCCAAGAAAACAAAAGCTGTGGGTCACAGTGACTGCTCAGCACTTGAGAGAAACTAATTTTTTCTGGTTTTTATTGTACCAAGCTGAAGCATTTTCATGGTCTTCTGCCCTTCAGTAATTCCATGGTTATCTTACTGAATTTTAGATAACACTTTAAACGAAGATGGTTCGAGAACTCATTCTACATTGGCAGTCCGAGACAAAGTTCTGACAAAGTCAACATTTCACAAAGAGACTGTGATGTTAGAACTGCCATCATCTCATCATGTTGGGCTACAGTACAATCATGCAGGTACCACACCTCATGCACTTGATGGTTTGAATGCTACAGAATTACCTTCTTATCAAAATTCGTTCATTGCGACAAAGAAGCCTGAACATGCTGTTTCTAACTTATCAAATGAAGCCAGTCATGACTTAAAATGCAGTGCACCTAGTGAAGACCTTGGCTGTCGCAATGTAAAGTTTGTAGATGCTGAAATGATTGGCAGATCTCCAAGTGCAGTCTGTGAAAATAAATGTATTACCAGTGACTATGAAAATCAGCTACCAGTGCAAACGGATAGACTTCAAAGGGTAAAGCATTATATCAGCATTAACTGTGAAAAAAAGTTGTCGTTTACACATCAGAGAAATCTAACCAGCGAAGATGAATTTCATAGTAATTCAACTCTGGATTGCTTGGTTGGGCGAATAGCTAATAAAGTGCCTCATGCATCTAATAAAAAAGAAAACACCACATGTGATAAACCTTTGATTCCTTTGAGAGGTGCAAAAAATGGGGTTCAGCTTTTTGAAGGCCATAAAAGTACAGCAATAGATGCTGAATGCAACATTGCAAAAAATCATACTGAGCTTAAAATTAGATACGAAGACTTCCAAGCAACCCAAAGAGAGAGAACCGTAATTGATCAGCATGAGGCACAGTATACATTCTTCCCCAGTGTGGTACTTCCCAACTGTCTGAAATGTCCAGAAAAGGTGTTCAACAGGCCCATAAAACTTCAGAAACAAGAGGATCGCAGGTTAAAGCTCAAGCTGAGTAAAAAGAAATCGAATGGTACCCAGCTGACAGAAAATTCGACAGCTACAAAGGTAATAAGTGCCCAATCCACAGAACTAAGTTCTTGTAGCAGTAGAGTACTGCAAAATGAAGTATCTCTGGGTCACAATTCAATGAAATCTTTAGGTAATGGATTTCCTTTAGACTCCCAAACCTTTAATAAGGATGGATCTCCTGAAAATAGTCTAGGACAGTCACTTCGATTGGCGTGCAGTAAGTATACACTCCGAACAAAGCGGAAAGTAAGCTATGAAACCGAAGATAGTGAGCATGGTCAATGCTCAGAGATCTTCAAGGCCTGTCCAACTCGGTCACAGTGTTCAAAAGTCAATGATAACAGTACAGATCGTCCTCAGCGATCACGTAAAAGGAGAAGACTTAATAAGAAAGAGCCCCCTGTGATTATAAAATATATTATTATTAATCGATTCAAGGGTAGAAAAAATATGTTAGTTAAGATAGGAAAAGTGGATTCAAATGAGGACCATGTTCTTCTTGATGAAGATAAACTGCAAAAATATCACAAAATTTCACCTTTAAAAGACTGGTGGCCCAAGGTCACTGAACCTCCTGTTGTTATCAAACCTTTGTTATCAATACCTACACCAAAGAGAGGGAAGAAAACAAAAGTCCAGTCGAGCTTAAAGAAAAGAACTGGAAGATTAAAAAAACTACAAAGAAAGGAAAACCTGAATATTGCTAGCCAAGCTCAAGTGAAAAGAAATATGTTTACTACAAAGAAGGTAGAATTTTCACCACTTTCTCCTCCTTCACCGTGCTACAGTGCTGACGCTGATGACTGTTCAACAGAATATAAAGATGTTATGTACAAACTTGGCTTTATGTCAGACAGAATGCCAAGTCCTTCTAATCTATCACCACCTCGTTGCTGGTCACCAAGTGAAATGCAAGGGAATGGAATGCTGTCAATTATGGCATTAGATGATGATGTACTGATAAGAGAGAGTGATCCCTGTGCTTTAAATAATTCTGACTATTTGTTGCAAGGCAGTAGAAATCGTGGAGGAAAGCAAAGTTTGAAATCCAGGAAAAAATCTCCCTGTAATGCAAGTGCTACAGCTAAAAGAATGAGAGGACCCCAGAAAGGTAAGCAAGTGGCAGTTGATGAAAAAGATGAACAGAAGATAAAGCAGCGCAAGAAAACCAGAAAAAGATGGACTCGGAAACCAAAAAATGTAGTTCCGTATCTTGCCGTGAAGCAAGGAACTTTGCAAAGTTCAGAATCAAACGAGCAAGAGGCAAGCTCTGAGTCTATCAACACAGAACTGAATTCGTCCTGTAAAGAGAAATCCATAGGTAGGTTTTGTGGAAATTTTGAAAATGTGCTTGCTGTAGAATCGGATCCCATTCCCAAGACTGATGAGCAACCCAACATTCCTCTAAGCCTTTGTTCGACAGGGCATCTTCCTTCAACGCAGCCTTATTCTGAAGAAATCCACGGAGATTCTGGGGGCTACTATTGTTCATTGCTGGAAGTTGATGACAGCACAAATTTGCAAGATTTCCCTTATCCGCCTGGTGAACAAGTCTCGGATACACTATCTCAATTGGCAACATGTTCTCAGTCACAGTTGCATTCCAGTCTCCCTTTCAGTCTCAGTAAAACAAGTCCTTCTTGTGTTCAGGCTGATTCTATTTACATGTTGGATAACAAGGCTCAAATGACTGAGAGTTTTCAATTATCGATGGACACAAGCCTTGAACCACAGACAGCACTGGCTGTTCCTCAGAATCAGCGGTGTTTTGATCAGCTACCGGCCTCTTCCACAGTTCAGCCTCATCCACAGTCTTTACAGTACTCCCACTTGCCAGTTCACTCAACTGAAGACGTGTTTAGGATACAGAAGAACAATTCATCACAGCCAAGATCACAGATTATGAGCCAAACAAAGGTTGGTGGTGGTCAGCATATTTCTGAAGCTAGAGATTTTCAAAATGGAGAGGAGACACAAACACACAAATCTCACCAGAATTCCACATTATCTCAGTCAGAGCTTGAGGTTGATGGCAAAGTAAATCATTCACCACAACCGTTCCAGCAATCCAAAGTTCTTCAGCAATCAAAATCTGAGCTACTTGATTCTGAGGTAAATCAACATTCAACATTTTCTCAAGGAAACAATGTTATGGATTTACCTCACAGGATTTCTCCGCACGAAAATGAAAAGGATGGTCATTGTCTTAATTCTGTTCCGTGTAGCCATACTAAGTTAGTGAAAAAATTTGTGGAAGGGGAACAAGAAACTGCCAACATTTTAGATATATCTGATTTCACCCCTCCCAGAATAAAGCAGAGATCAGTGTCTGAAACCTTCTTGGACACAAATATTGCACCGCACTCTCAGAAATCTGAACACTGTCTGAGAATGGATGGCCAAGCTCCTTTTAGTGGTAGTCAGTCTAGTCTCACTGTTTTGAGAGAGTTACTGCAGAAGAGGCAACAAAAAACACAAGAAGGCAATGTTCAAGCTCCTTCACCAAAAGCTCTACTTCACAGAAGTGTTTCTTGTCCAAATGAGCAAAATGAATTCAGTAAAAATTCTTCTAACACAGACTTTCCTGGCCTTCTACCTGTTGCTAATTCAAAGTCCCAAAAGGATGCTGCTTCTAAAAAAACAAAAAACTCAAGAAGTGCAAATATTGTACAGAAGAAAACCAAAACCTCAAAGAGAGTGCCGCCCAAGAAATCTCCAACTTCTCAATCCAAATGTCCTTTTTCTGATGATAGTCCTGTTTTCCATTCAGATGCAGGGTTTGATAGTTACAGTTTTGACAGCTTATCACCAGAACTTCCTCAGTCTTACAATTTTGATATCAATACTGTTGGACAAACCAGATATTGCACTGTATATTCTGGGTGCCAATTCATGCCAGCTGCTGAGCAAAATCTGCCTCAAAAATTTTTGAGTGATGTGCAGGAATCTGTTCCAGCCCAGGCAGTAATAGAAACTTGTGCATACAAGACCCAAAGCAGTAAAGTGCAGCACTCTGACCAAATACATCAGCCATCAAGCAATGTTGAATGGGCCAGGTCTGGCTCAATCAGCCCTGATCTGTTTGAAAAGTCCTTTTTAGACAGTGGAGAAAAGTTGAAACAATTAAATAAAAGCTTTGACATGCCGATTCAAAGTGTTCTGTCGAGCTCTTCTGAATCGTCTAGCACCCATTTGTCTGGAATGTCTATTGTTGAGATGAAGGATCAGACTTCTAATCATTGCCATGATTCTTTGGAGAATGGAACTTCCTGTAGCCCAATAAAGTCATCCAGTAGTCAATTAATGCTGTTAGATGAAGGAAGTGGAAGAGAATGTGACAGATCTGATGTGTGTTTGTCTGCCCTTTCGACTGGTTCAAGTCCAAATGGAACGATAGGTTTTATTGGTGAAGACATGGCAGCATTAAGCTGTGAAGATCCAGAGATTTGTGCTTCTAAATATAGTAATGGTTCGCCAGCAACATCTCATAGTTCTCCGGCATCTGTCAATTCACCATTACAAACCAAAAATAGCTGTTACATTAGCCGCACATCAGGTGCTCACATTCTAAAACCTTTAATGTCACCACCAAGCCGAGAGGAAATCGTGGCAACACTGTTTGATCATAATCTGGCAGAAACTGTCTACCAAGAACCATTCTGCAGCGATCCTTCAGATGCTCCAGAAAAACCCAGGTGAGATGATACTTCCTCTCTGGCTGTTTAAAATTGTGGAAGTGTTCATTTGTTATCTTAAGTCCTATTTTGTGGTCAAATATATCATGCTGCACAATAATGATCTAAAATGTTGTTCAATCTCTTCTGACTCGTACATTGTTAAAGGTATGACATACAGGCTGTTATGCAAGTTAATGTTTTCCTTTTGTACGAGGTTGACCGTCTGACTCAGTTTCTCTTTGGATGATATCTACCTCTATCACCCCAAAAATTAATTTATTCTTTTAGCTTTGATTTCTAGTATTTATGAAGTCTTTGAGCAAGCTTCAATTTCCTCCTACTTTAGACAATAGATCTCCTGTTGTCATAAACATTTACTGTAATTTTGACTCAGCAGTTTTATAAATTTGTGAACAAATCGATTTTAGGGAGTAGATTAGAATCATGGAATAGTCAGAGCATGAGAGACTATTTGATCCATTTGAATCCATTGGCTTCTGCAGCAGTTTAGCAAGGCACACTTCCTGCCCTTTTTGAATAGGCCAGCATTATTTTCTCTTCAGTAGCCTTTTTCAATTCCCCTTTGATAGCCTCAAATGTCTTCCTTAACCTCGTTCTCGAGCAGTGTTTTCCAGATTGAAACCACTCACTATGTAAGGAAAGGTTTACCTTCCATTGTAGCTTTTTTTTTCAGTCACCTTAAATTTGCCCTCTGGTTCCTGACCCTTCCGTCAAATGGAACAATTTCAGTCCATCTACTCTGTCCAAATCCCTTGTGAACTTGAGCATCTCTATCAAATCTCTTCCAAACCTGCTCTTTAAGGAGATTAGCCCCAGATTCTCCAATCCATCCTTCAAAAATGAAACTCCTTATCAGTAGTTCATAGGTTAGCACTGCTGCCTCACAGCATCAGGGACCCAGATTCGATTCCACCCTCGGGCGACTGTCTGCGTGGGTATCCTCTGGGTGCTCCAGTTTCCTCCTACATAGACGTGCGCATTAGGTGGCTTGGCAATGCTAAATTGCCCATAATGTCCAAGAATGTGTAGGCTGGGTGCATTGGCCATGGGGATTGCACTGTTACAGAGATAGGGTAGAGGGTGGATCTGGGTGCGATGCTCTTCAGAATGGCCTGCTTCTAGGCTGTAGGGATTCTTGATTATCTTGGATCCATTTTGTAGACCTTTGCTGCACCCTCTTCAAAGTTTTCTTCATCTTGCTAACATGCAGCATTGGAAATAAATGCAATACTCCAATACTAATCTCTTTTTACACTTCAACTTAAAAAAAGAAGCAGGGGAATTTACTCTGAGGCATACTAATGCTCTAAACCTGTTCCAAATACAGCTAGAACACTGATATCTAAGTGAAAGTGTGGAAGATATCCCAGTTATGTGCTGTTTCCCCACATGGTAAATCCAAACCAACCAACCATCCCATCAGTGTGCTCTTAATCATCAGTAAAAGTGTTGGTGTCCTCAACAGTGATAACAAGAAACACTTGCTTAGTACTAATCTGTTCACTTCATCCAGTTTAGATTCCCCCAGGGCCACTCAGCCCCTGACCTCTTTGCAGCCTTGGTTCACACTTGGAAAGCAGATATGAATTCTAGAGGCAAGATGAACCAAGGCTGCATTTGACTAAGTGTAACCTCAAGGAACCGTAGCAAAACTCGTGTTTAAGGGAATCCGGAGTGGTGGTTGGAGTCATACGTGACACAGAGGAAGATGGTTGAACTTGTTGAGTCTTCTGAGCTCCACAGCATCTCTGTAAGGGTTTTACTGGGTAGTGTTCTCGGCCCAACCATATTTAGCTGCTTCATCGATGCCTTCCCTCCATACGGTCATGATGTGGAGGTGCCAGTGTTGGACTGGGATGGACAAGGTCAAAAATCGCACAACACCAGGTTATAGTCCAACAAGTTTATTTGAAAACTTGGGCTTTCAGAGTCTCGCTGCTCCTTCAGGTGGCAGTGAGAGAGGTGGCATCAGACACCGAATTTATAAGCAAAAGATCAAAGTGTCATGGAACTGATGCAAATGTGTTGAACAAACCAAAGATGGCTGTTAAATCTTTAATCAGTTAGAAAGGATTAATATGCAAATTACAGAATCTCTTTCAAGTCACTGCCCTGAGATAACTTAAAGGTTTTGTCAGTTCCCTCAGTATACCAGAGGTGACATCTGAGGTCAGACAATGCATTTTAGGTGTGAGGCCTTGTTTAGAATCTGGCTGTGTATCAACTTGGAGTCAGACTGGTTTTATTTCCAAACTAGGAATTTATAAAATGCCACATTGACTGTCTACATATGGTGCTTTTGAACAAAATAGAATGTATCTGCAAATTCACCCAGTAGATTTGTGTGTATGTGTAGTGTGTGTGAACAGCCATGGGGAACCAGATTTGCACCCCAATATGCCAACATTTTCAAGCAGATGTTCAAACAAGACTTTGCTGCATAGGACACCTCCCAACAATGCTATACACTAGATACTTTGATGCCATTTTTTTCCCCTTTGGACTCATGGCAAGGAATCTCTGAACCAACGACATAGCGATATCAACAAGTTTCATCCCACCATCAGACTTACCATGGACTTTAGAATCAGTCTCACACGCACCTCCAAGGACAGACACTTCAACACCTCACTCTACTACAAGCCTACAGATAACCTCACAATGCTGCACTTTCCTAGCTTCCACCCTAAACATTGTATTAAAAAAAAGCCATCCCCTACGGACAAGTCCTACACATACATGGGAACTGTTCAGATGAAGAGGAGTGCAACGGACACCTGAAGGTGCTAAAGATGCCCTCATAAGAACAGGATATGATGCTCAACTCATCTATCGCCAGTTCCGACGTGCCACACTGAAAACAGTAATGACCTTGTCAGAAGACAGACATGGGATACGACCAATAGGGTACCCTTGGTTGTCCAGTACTTCCTAGGAGCGGAGAAACTCTACGCCGTGTTCTTCACACCCTTCAACACATCAATGACAATGAGCACCTCACCAAGATCTTCCCCACGCCTCCACTTCTCACCTTCAAACAACTGCCAAATCTTAAACAAACCATTGTTCACAGCAGACTACCCAGCCTTCAGGACAACATTGACCACAACACCATATAACCCTGTCATGACAACCTCTGCATCACATATGTGAATACCACCCACCACGTGCACGGCAAGTACTCGTGAGACTCGGCCAGTATTGTCTATCTCATGCTGCAGGCAAGGATGCCCCAAAGCATGGTATATTGGCAAAATTGGCGGATGCTACGATAATGGCTGAATGGACAGTGCACAACAATTGCCAGACAGAGATGCTCCCTCCCAGTGGGGGAGCACTTTAACAGCCAAGGACATTTGGCCTCAGATCCTCGGGTAGACGTTCTCCAAGGCAGACTTTGGGCTGCACAGCAATGCAGAGTCACCAAGCAGAGGCTGAGAGCCAACTTCGGTACCCATGAAGATAGCTTCAACCGGGATCTTGGATTCCTGTCGCACTACAAGTGATCCCATCTCTCTCTTTCTTCACTCGCTCTTTTCTCTGTCTCCCCCTCTATCTCACTCCCTCTTTTCTCTCACACTCTCCATCTCTCTCACTCCCTCCCGTTTTCTCTCCCTACTGTCTTCTGACTCTTCTCTCTGTCTCTGTCTCCCCCTTTTCTCTTCTGTCTGTGTCTCCCCTCCCTCCCACGTGCACATTTAAATCTATGGGGTGAACTTGTAATTACAGATACTTTCTGTTTTCTTCAAAAAGCACACAGTTTGTAGACAGTCCATGTGTCCTTTTATAAAATCGTACTTTGGAAATAAAACCAGTCTGACTCCAAGTTGATACATAGCCAGATTTTGAACAAGGCCTCGCACTTAAAATGACCTGGAGTGTCACTTCTGGTATACTGAGGGAACTGATAAAGCCTTTAGTTATCTCGGAACGGTGACATGAAAGAGATTTTGGAATTTGCATATTAATCCTTTCAGACTGATTTAAAGATTTAATAGCCATCTTAGGTTTGTTCAGCACATTGGCATCAGTTCTGTGACCGTTTCAACTTTTGCTTATAAATTGTGTCTGATGCCACCTCTCGCTGACATCTGAAGAAGGAGTGAGACTCTGAAAGCTTGTGTCTTCAAATAAACCTGTTGGACTATAACCTGGTGTTGTGTAATTTTTGACATCGTAAGGTCAGAAGTAGGGATATTCACCAGTGATGGCACAATTTCAACACTATTCATGACTCCTCAGTACTGAAGCAGTCCATGTCCAAAGTATAGCAAGACTTGGCCATTATCAAGCTTGGGTTGACAAATGGCAAGTTACATTTGTATCACTCGTGGCATAGATTATAATAGCAGGGAGTTCATGTTGGAGCTGTGCAGCATGTTAATAAGCCCACAGCTGGAGTACTGTGTGGTTCTGGTTAACATACTATAGGAAGGATGTGATTGCACTGGAGAGTGTGCAAAGGAGATTCACCAGGATGTTGCCTATGATGGAGCATTTCAGTGATTAAAAGATGCTTGGTAAACGGATGTTTTCTTTGGAGCAGAGATGATGGACCTGATAGGGATGCTTTAAGATTAAGGGGCAAGGACAGGGTGCATAGAAAGCAGTTGCTCCCTTTAGTTGAAGAGTCCACAACAAAGAAGCATAATTTTAAAGTAAAAGGCAGGAAGTTTAGAGGGGATTTAAGGAAAAGGTTTTTCACCCGGAGGGTGGTATGGGTCTGGGATGCACTGTCTGGGAGGGTAGCTGAGGTGGGAAACCTCACAACCTTTAAAAGGTACTTGGGTGAGCACTTGAAATGCCATAACGTTCACGGCTATGGGTCTAGTGGGAGAAAGTGGGACTCTTATAAGTAGTAGTATATTTTCG